AGGTTTTTTTTTTTTTGAGACGGAGCTTGCCGTGTCACCAGGCTGGAGTGCAGTGGCATGATCTTGGCTCACTGCAACAACCTCTACCTCCCAGGTTCAAGCGATTCTCCTGCCTCAGCCTCCTGAGGTGCTCTGGCTGGGGCCCCGCACAGTCATGGCTTCTCACAAGTCCTCCAGCCGGGTGATGTGACCGTTCCATGTCCCCACCCAGTTCCTCTGATGGCACAGCTGAAGGGGATCAGGATACGTTACCCTTAAAAATATATCCACTTAGAGACTGGGCACAGTGCCTCACGCTTGTAATCCAGCACTCTGGGAGGCCGAGGTGAGTGGATCATTTGAGCTCAGGAGTTTGAGACTAGCCTGGGCAACGTGGCAAAACCCCATCTCTACCAAAAATACAAAAAAATTCACCAGGCATATGTGGCATCCACCTGTGGCCCAGTACTTGGGAGGCTGAGGTAGGAGGATGCTTGAGGCTGCGAGGCTGAGGTTGCAGAGAGCTGAGATGCCATCACTGCACTCCGGCCTGGGCAACAGACCAAGACCCTGTCTCAAAAAAAAAAAAAAAAAAATCTATCTCATCTATCTATCTATCTATCTATCTATCTATCTATCTATATATCTATCTATCATCTAGCTAGCTAGCATCAACTGTAGCATAATAATTATTCTGAGCTGAATGCAATAGAAAATCAGTAGATGGCCAGGCGCGGTAGCTCACGCCTATAATCCAGCATTTTGGAGGGCTAAGTGGATGGTCACCCTGAGATCAGGAGTTTGAGACCAGCCTGGCCACATGGTGAAACCTTGTCTCTACTAAAAATACAAAAAATTGTCTGGGCGTGGTGGCTCAAACCTGTAATCCCAGCACTTTTGGGAGGCCGAGTGGGCCGGATCAGTGAGGTCAGGAATCGAGACCATCCCTGGTAAGATGGGGAGAAACCCCGTCTCTACTAAAAATACACAAAAAATTAGCTGTGTGGTGTGGCTGCCTGTAGTACCCAAACTTGGGAGGCTGAGGCAGAAGAGAAATGGCGTGAAACCCAAAGGTCGGAAGCTGGGTTGAGTGGAGAATTGGTCCACTGCCAGCACTCCCAGGCCTGGTGCGACAGAGCGAGACTGTGCTCTCAAAAAAAAAAAAAAAATACAAAAACTATAGCGTGGGTGATGGTGGTGTGTGGGCATCGTATGAGGTGCCCAATACTTGCAGGATTGTCTGTTAGATGCTACATAGTAAGCCTCTTTGGAACTCTGGTTTTTTTGTGAGTTTGTTGTTTTTGTATTGGAGGTGGAAGTGAGCCTAATATCTTCGACGAGTGGCAAGTCCAGAACCTGGTGAGGGCAGACTGGTGGGTCTCAAAAAATATAGGAAGAAAGAAAAAATGCGGAGGGGAAGAAAATGGATGGCTTTTTAAAAAATTAAAGAAGTTGCCGGGCATGGTGGCTCATGCCTGTAATCCCAGCACTTTGGGAGGCCGAGGCGGGTGGATCACGACGTCAGGAGTTCAAGACCAGCCCGGCCGAGATGGTGAAACCCGCATCTCTACTAAAAACACAAAAATTAGCCGGGTGTGGTGTTGGGTGCTTGTAATCTCAGGTATTCGGGAGGCTGTGGCAGAGAATTGCTTGAACCCGCAAGGCGGAGGTTGCAGTGAGCCGAGATCGCACCACTGCATTCCAGCCTGGGTGAGAGAGGGAGACACCATCTTAAAAAAAGAAAAAAAAACAAAATTAAAGAAGTCAGATGTGGTAGCATGCACCTGAAGTCCCAGCTAAGGCTAAGGCGAGAGGATCACTTGAGCCCAGGAGTTTGAGAGCAGACTGGGCAACCTAGCAAGACCCCATCTCAAAAAAGAAAATTAAAGAAATAGGAGTTGGGCCAGGCACAGTGGCTCATGCCTGTAATCCCAGCACTTTGGGAGGCCAAGGTGGGTGGATCACCTGAGGTCAGCAGTTCAAGACCAGCCTGGACAACATGATGAAACCCCGTCTCTACTAATAATACAAAAATCAGCCGAGTGTGGTGGTGGGCACCTGTAATCCCAGCTATTCAGGAGGCTGAGGCAGGAGAATTGGCTTGAACCTGGGAAGCAGAGGTTGTAGTGAACCAAGATCGTGCCACTGCACTCCAACCTGGGAGACAGAGGGAAACTCCGTCTCAAAAAAATAAAATAAAATAAAAAATTAAAGAAATAGGAGTTGTATTAGTCTCTTCCTGTGGCTGCTGTAATAAATTATCCGCCGGGCGTGGTGGCTCACGCCTGTAATCCCAGCACTTTGGGAGGCCAAGATGGGAGGATCACGAGGTCAGGAGATCGAGACCATCCTGGCTAACACGGTGAAACCCCGTTTCTACTAAAAAATACAAAAAACTAGCTGGGCGTGGTGGCAGGCACCTGTAGTCCCAGCTACTTGGGAGGCTGAGGCAGGAGAATGGCGTGAACCCGGGAGGCGGATCTTGCAGTGAGCTGAGATTCGGCCACTGCACTCCAGTCTGTGCGACAGCGAGACTCCGTCTCAAAAAAAAGATAAAATAAAATAAAAAAATAAATTATCACAGGCTGCGTGCCTTACAATAGCAGACATTTGGCTGTGCCCAGTGGCTTACGCATGTTATCCCAGCATGCTGGGAGGCCGAGGCAGACAGATCACCTGAGGTCAGGAGTTCAAGACCAACCTGGCCAACATGGTGAAACCCCTTCTCCACTAAAAATACAAAAAAAAATAATAAATAACCAGGCATGGTGGCAGACATCTGCAGTCCCAGCTACTCAGGAGACTGAGACAGGAGAAACGCTTGCACCTGGGAGACGGAGGCTGCAGTGAGCCGAGATCGCACCATTGCCCTCCAGCCTGGGCAACAAGAGTGAACCTCCGTTCAAAAAAAAAAGTCCTATTCTTGGACTTCCCTGCCTCCAGAAATGTGAGCTACACGTTTCTGTCGTTTATGAATCCCCCAGTCTACGATATTTTGTTATAGCTGTCCAAATGGATTAAGGCAGATGCTATTCAACCCAGAGCAGTAACACAACCGATAAAGGAGGTGCAGACGGTGTCCGCAAATGACCTGCCATCGTGGGACACGGCTAGCCGAGGAAGCACTGGACGCTCCGCTGTGTCTCCCGCTGTGAGTCCTATGGGAACTGGCTTCCCCCTGAGCGTTTGTCTCGAGTACACGGCGACTGTGATGACGAGTCACTCCTATTCCCTCATCTATGTCAGCTGAGCACCGCTGAAGGCCAAGTGAGGATGAGCAGATGAGGGCAGCCATCGTGGAGGAGAGACTGCAGAGGGGACAGACACGGAAACCAATGTCATCCTACCCACATCCTGAATCGGCGATGACAGCCGCGTCTGCTATACAGGGTGCCTACGTCCCATCTGGACTCCTGTGTCTGCCGCCCCTGCCCTGCCTGGAATGATGGCCGGTCCCACGCTGCGGTCTCCTGTCACACCCGTCACGCCTACCACCTCTCCCCCTGTGAGTTTCCCCCAGCCCCAGGCCCCTACCAGCCCTGCACACTTCTACATCAGGCCCAGCCCCTCTCACCCACCCTTGGTTCTCTCATACCTGCCCCTGCAGTCCTGCAAAAGGGGACCTCCCTCCTGCCCACTCTGATATATATATATATATATTTTTGGACATATGAACAGGGTCTTGCTCTGTCACCAAAGCTGCAGTGCAGTGGCGCGATCACAGCTCACTACAGTCTGGAGCTCCTGGGTTCAACCAATCCTCCCTCCTCAGTCTCCCAAGTAGCTGGGACTACAGGTGCACACGACCACACCGAGCAATTTTGTGTGCAGATTGCATCTGTTACTATGTTGCCCAGGCTGGTCTCCAACTCCTGGCCTCAAACGATCCTCTGCCTCAGCCTCCTGAGTAGTTGGAATTACAAGCATGAGCCACCACACTCGATAGCTGTTTTAATTGATGCATCACAGATGTACATAGTTTTGGGGGTACATGTGGTGATTTAATACATTCATATAATTTGTAAAGATCAAATCAAGTGTACTTGAGATACGCGTCATCTTAAATATAAATATTTAGGCTGGGTGCGGTGGCTCACATCAGTAATCCCAGCATTTTGGGAGGCCGAAGTGGGTGGGTCACCTAAGGTCGGGAGTTCGAGAACAGCCTGACAAACAGGGAAAAACCTCTTCTCTACTAAAAATACAAAATTAGCCGGGCATGGTGGCAGATGCCTGTAATCCCAGGTACTAGAGAGGCTGAGGCAGGAGAATTACTTGAACCTGGGAGGCAGAGGTTGCAGTGAGCCAATATCACACCACTGCACTCCAGCCTGGGCAACAAGAGCGAAACTACGTCTCAAAAAAAAAAAAAAAAAAAGAATACAAAAATTAGCCAGGCGCAGTGGTGGGTGCCTGTAATTCCAGCTACTGAGGAGGCTGAGGCAGGAGAATCGCTTGAGCTGGGGAGGCAGAGGCCGCAGTGAGCCGAGATTGCGCCATTGCACTCCAGCCTGGGTGACAGAGTGAGACTCTGCCTCAAAAAAAAAAAAACAAAAAACAAACAAACAAAAAAAAACAAAGAAGGCCAGGCGAGGTGCCTCATGCCTGTAATCCCAACACTTTGGGAGGCCAAGGCGAGAAGATCACGAGGTCAGGAGTTCGAGACCATCCTGGCCAACATGGTAAGACCCCATCTCTATTAAAATACAAAAAAATTGGCCAGGCGTGGTGGCGCGCACCTGTAGTCCCAGCTACTCCAGAGGCTGAGACAGGGGAAATGCTTGAACCCGGGAGGCAGAGGCTGCAGTAAGCCGAGATCCCGCCATTGCACTCCAGCCTGGCGACAAAGCAAGACTCTGTTTCAAAAAAAAAAAAAAAAAGAAAGAAAATAAGAAAACATTGGGAAAATGCTCAGATGTTGGTCTGGGCAAGGATTTTTTGTGCAAGGCCCCAAAAGCACAGGCAACAAAAGGAAAAATCAACAAACGGGATTATATCAAGCACTTTTTTTTTTTTTAAGTCAGGGTATTGCTATATTACCCAGGCTGGCCTGAAACTTGTAGACTCAAGGGATCCTCCTGCCTCAGACTCCCAAGTAGCTGGGACTACAGGCACATGCCACCATGCCCAGCTTGGAAAAATGTTTTAAACTTGAGGCTGGGCGTGGTGGCTCATGCCTGTAATCCCACCGCTTTGGGAGACCGAGGAGGGCGAATCATTTGAGGTGCCAGGAATTCACGACCAGCCTGGCCAAAATGGTGAAACCCAGTCTCTACAAAAATACAAATATTAGCCAGGCAGAATGGTGAGTTCCTGTAATCCCCACCATTGTAGTAACCCCACCATTGTAGTAACCCCACCACTGTAGTAATTGAGCTACTGGGAGAATCACTTCAACCTGGGCGGAGATTGCAGTGAGCCACAGAGCGAGACACTGTCTCAAAAAACGACAAAAAAAAGAGATCGAGACCATCTTGGCCAACATGGTGAAGCCCTGTCTCTACTAACTGGGTGTGGTAGCGCGTGCCTGTAGTCCCAGCCACTCGGGAGGCTGAGGCAGCAGGATGGCTTGAACCTGGGAGGCAGAGGTTGCAGTGAGCCAAGATCCCAACAGAGCAAGACTCCATCTCAAAACAAACAAACAAACAAAAAGAATTTAGAACTTGGGCCAGGTGCGGTGGCTCACGCCTGTAATGCCAGCTACTTAGGAGCCTGAGAGGCTAGAGAACCCCTTCAACCCTCAGGTCAGAGGTTGCAGTGAGCTGAGATCACCCCACTGCACTCCAGCCTGTGTGACAGAATGAGACCCTGTCTCAAAAAAAAAAAGAAAAAAAAAAAAGAAAATCAATTGGACAATCAAATTAGATTCGGAACTCCACAAAGTTAGGTCCAGGGCCTTGCTCAAGGTAGTGTCCCAAGCTCCAGACTCCTGGGGGCCTTATTTTACCTGAGGTTGCACAGCCGGAACAAGCCAAGGAGTCAGGTCGACAGCGCCACCTAGAGGCCAGATGGCAAACAGCCAAACATGAGACCACTCTTTTTTTTTTTTTTTTTTGAGACGGAGTTTTGCTCTTGTTGCCCAGGCAGGAGGGCAGTGGCGCGAACTTGGCTCACCACAACCTCTGCCTCCCAGATTCAAGCAATTCTCCTGCCTCAGCCTCCCAAGTAGCTGGGATTACAGACATGCGCCACCATGCCAGCCTAATTTTGTATATTTTGTTGAGACGGGGTTTCACCATGTTGGTCAGGCTGGTCTCAAACTCCTGACCTCCAACGATCCACTGCCTTGACCTCCCAAAGTGTTGGGATAACAGACGTGAGCCACCATGCCTGGCCTGCCACACTCCTGTGGTCTCAGCTACTTGGGACGTTGGGATGGGAGGATCACTTGAGCCCAGGAGGTCGAGGCTGCAGTGAGCTATGAACATACTACAGAGGTACAGAAAGCGGCAGGCCAGGCACAGTGACTCACGCCTGTAATCCCAGCATTTTGGGAGGCCAAGGCAGGTGGATCATTTGAGGTCAGGAGTTTGAGACCAGGCTGGCCAACATGGTGAAACCCCGTCTCTACTAAAAATACAAAAATTAGCTGGGCATGGTGGCGCATGCCTGTAGTCCCAGCTACTCGGGAGGCTGAGGCAGGAGAATTGCTTGAACCCAGGAGGCAGAGGTTGCAGTGAGCCAAGAACATACTACTGCACTCCAGCCTGGGCAACAGAGCCAGGCAAGAAGGCCGGGCGCGGTGGCTCACGTCTGTAATCCCAGCACTTTGGGAAGCCGAGGCAGGTGGATCACCTGAGGTCGGGAGTTCGAGACCAGTCTGACCAACATAGAAAAACCCCGTCTCTACTAAAAATACAAAATTAGCCAGGCGTAGTGGCGCATGCCTGTAATCCCAGCTACTCGGGAGGCTGAGGCAGGAGAATCATTTGAACCCAGGAGGTGGAGGTTGCAGTGAGCTGAGATCGTGCCATTGCACTCCAGCCTGGGCAACAAGAGTGAAACTCCATCTCCGAAAAAAAAAAGAAAAAGAAAAAGAAAGAAAGGAAAGAAAGAAAAGAAAGAAAACCGAAACTGGAAAGACAGAGGCAGTCTCTTTTTTTCTTTTTCTTCTTTTTTTTTGTTTTGTTTTGTTTTTCTGTTGTTGTTGTTGTTGTTGAGACAGTGTCTCACTCTGTTTCCCAGGCTGGAGTGCAGTGGTCCCATTATAGTTCACTGCACCCTCAACCTCCTAGGCTCCATTGATCCTCCCACCTCAGCCTCCCAAGTAGCTGGGACCACAGGTGAGTGCCACCACACCTGGCTACTTTGTTTTTAATCCCAGCACTTTGGGAGGCCCAGACGGAAGGATCACCTGAGTCCAGGAGTTTGAGATGAGGCTGGGCAACATAGTGAGACCTCGTTTCTTTTTTTCTTTTTTTTTTTTTTGAGATGGTGTTTCACTCTGTGCAATGGTATGATCTTGGCTCACTGCAACCTCTGCCTCCTGGGTTCAAGCGATTCTCCTGCCTCAGCCTCCTGGGTAGCCGGGATTACAGGCATACACCACCACACCTGGCTAATTTTGTATTTTTAGTAGAGATGGGCTTTCTCCATGTTGGTCAGGCTGGTCTCAAACTCCTGACCTCCAACGATCCACTGCCTTGACCTCCCAAAGTGTTGGGATAACAGACGTGAGCCACCATGCCTGGCCTGCCACACTCCTGTGGTCTCAGCTACTTGGGACGTTGGGATGGGAGGATCACTTGAGCCCAGGAGGTCGAGGCTGCAGTGAGCTATGAACATACTACTGCACTCCAGCCTGGGCAACAGAGCCAGACCCTCTCTCAAATAAATAGATAAATAAAATAGAGACGGATCTCACTATGTTGCCCAGGTTGGCCTTAAAGTCCTGACTCTAAGCAAATCTCCCACCTGGGCCTACTTAGTAGCTAGGACTACAGGTGGATGCCACCACGCTCAGCTAATTTTTATTTTTTATTTATTTAGTTTTTTTGTTTTGTTTTGTTTTGTTTTGTTTTGTTTTGAGATACAGTCTTGCTCTGTTGCCCAGGCGGGAGTACAGTGGCATGATCTCATCTCACTGCAACCTCCACCTCCCGGGTTGAAGCAATTCTCTTGTGTCAGCCTCCCGAGTAGCTGGGACTACAGTCGCCTGCCACCATGCCTCACTAATTTTTGTGTTTTACTAGAGAGGGGGTTTCACCACATTGGCCAGGCTGGTCTCGAACTCCTGAGCTCGCCCACCTTGGCCTCCAAAAGTGCTGGGATTACAAGTGTGAGCCACTGCACCTAACCTTTTTTGTTT